ACAAAAACTATATATATATATATATATATATATATATATATATATATATATATTTTGTGAGTTATGTGTTCATGTCTACCTTTATTACATACATATATCAATCCTTGCTTTCATGACTCTTGATAATTACTTGGATTTAGGTCAATTATTGCTTGGAACTTTGTTGTTCCACACATCTCAATTTGCCTAATTAGCTTAGTCACATATATATAAGTTAATCATAGAGGTAGCTGTAGCTAATTTAGTTATTGCGTGGATCATGGTGTTGCTACTGCCTCTCAATTTGCTTTACCATAGTACGTGACATGATTAACCCAAAACTTTATGTTTTAATTAAATTTCAGTATTTTGAAATATTATTAACTTTAAGTCACGTCAGTTGGATATTAGTTTGCTTCTTTGGTTTGAGATAATCCTTTCCTCTTCTGTTTTAATAGCACAAATATAATTTTCCTACCTTGTTTCATGAAGACCACATTAAATTTGGAAGTAGGTTTCACAATTCTCAATGATTAAGAAACAAATTGAAGTGATGGATTTCAAGCAGCTTTTAAGTTTTTCTGAATATTCGATGCGTTTAGGTCCACTACATTATATTATACACTTTTTTTCTTGGATGGGTTTGATATATTTTATGTTTTTCTTCTTCTTCTTCTTCAATAATATATCATACGAGGAAGAAGGATATTTGTTTACAAGATCATAAGATTCATCTCAAGGAACACGATCATCAAATTGCAAAAGCAGAGGTCCAGTTTTTTCTTCAGATAACAGGGTCATATAGTTTGGAGCTAAAAAAAAAAAAAAAGCTTTACGTTTTTCTACTTCGAATATATACTGTATATGATTTGTCGTCTTACAGTACAATAAGATGTTTTTTTGTGACTGAGTAAGTATGGCGTGGTTTGTGCATTCACCAGAAATTTAAAACCGAAGGAAAAAGAAAAAGAATTTATTTGTCCAATTATTAGTGATCAAGATTCGGAACAAATACGGTTGTCCATTTACTTGGTTCACCCATTTGGATTATTGATATTATTTTTCTGGACAACAAGTAAACTATTTGGATTGGCTTTGAATGGCTTATGATTTTAGTGATTTTCTACATGAAAATGTCGATAATCATGTAATGTAAGTCAACTAATTCGGAATACCAGAAAAACCACCCCACCCTCCAAACAAAACCGATGGCTCTTCAATCTCGATAAAGACACTGCGATTCCATTATCAACATTTTTTTTTCCTTGTCTTCTTCTTCATCTTTCCACACTAGCTTCTTCTTTTTGGAATTAAAAAATAAATAAAATTTAATACATTTTTTTAAATATAATTGATATTGTTCTCCGATAAAAATAAAATTTTACATTAATAATATGTATTTACATTTAATGTAGATCTCATTAATATATCACTTAAAAAAAATACACCTAATCATGCAACTTGTATTTTGCAAATGAAAATCAATTAATACGGATTATATATCCTTCTGGCTGACTTTCAAATAAAATGAAGCATAAACAAAATTTATGCGATATTCCGCCAAAACAATATGAACATTTATCAGTATTAAGTATGAATTTAGTACAAATAACAAACATGTGACCTAAAATAAATATTACACCTTAATTAATAAGGCACTCTTGAGTTCAAAAATTAAAATTGCAGATATGCTAAAATTTAATTAGCTAGCTTCTATGTTTAGCTAGGAATAAAAAATTCAGAGGCTATCTTTTCATCATCACATACCTGTGCCTGAATTTAGCACCAACTGATCGTGATGATTTGATTACAATGGCACTCAAACTCGTTGCCATCATATGCATTAAAGCTAATTGTATATATTTCACATAGAAATTAACGATAAGTTGCTCTAAGGTGGACCTATATATATTCGGGGAATCATATACTAAAGCTATATCTATATAAATATTTATTATAATATTTTATCTCATTTTTAAAAAAGTATTATCCCGAGAAAAAAAAAAAAACTAAAATTGATGTCACTATCTAAAGTCTAATATTCTAAACCAATTTGACGATTTCAATTCTTTTAAGATATTTGGATAGATTACTTGTTGATAAAAATTCTGTCACTATCATATACCTAAAAGAAAGCCAGTCATGTACCCATAAAAGTTAAAAACAGTCACTATCACATGATTCACATCTATTAAGGAGCTTTGAATTCTTGTTTAGTAAATAGTAGCTAGTAGAACTTCTCCATATAACAAATGAAAAAAACTGAAGGGTTGCTAGAGGGTGAATGTACAATACAGATACATATTCATATAGATTATAGATAGGAACATAATACTTTATATATACATGCAATTATACTATTTGTGGTTAATTGAGTGAGTTCTTAGGCTAGTTTATTTAAAATTTAAAAAATGTTTATAAAAGAAAGTGGTTCTTAAAAAGCAGATTTTTAAGAAGTAAATAAGAAAACAGGCCCCTTTAAGTTGGAGTTAACAGTGGATAAGACGTAGAACTAGATCTTGAAAAGTTGCAAGGTGGGTTTTAATAATTGATTTCATTGTTCTAGAGACTTTTGGACGCTGAGAGGCAGAGACAATAGTTGTAAGCAACAAAAGTGAAGGTGCAATGGATGGATGTGAAGATGTAAGACTTGTGTCCACTCAGTACTGATTAAGATATAAATTTAAAGGTCATTCCATGTGTGTGTTACATAGTAGTGATTTGGAGAAAAGGAAGCTAGTGTATCTTCGATTTAATGCTTTTTTCTTTCTTCCATTTTGTATTCTCCCCCTCCTCTTTTTCTAATGCGGTGAGTAGTTTTTATAGTCAAGATAGGCTTTACCCATTTGTAACTAATTTATCTCCCCTGACTAATTTTCAATATCCTACGTTCTCCTTAATTTCTTCTACGTACTTCCAAAGACTAGATTTCACATTTTCTTCACTTATCCATTTCACATAACTCTTGTATCCTCTTTGATTTTTTTTTTCTCTTTTGATTTTTAAATAAATTACACTCGAATAAAATTGATTGCTCACACCATACTATATAATCAACAAATTATATAAAAACAAGTATTTTATATGAATGTTTGATGCATGTAGATGTAGTTGTACTATATTGTTGACTTAGGACTAGAAAATAGGTATTGTTTTAAAAGATGAATATCTCATTGTAAGAACATTGTATTATGGTACTCTAATAACTGATTTATTATAAAACACTATTGAGTATAGTTATTTCTTGAAGTAGAGTGTTGAATTTTTTTCTAGATCCTTAATTGATATCGTATGGGAATAAGATCGAGTCATACTAGTTTAAAAGTGACCAATTGATTAAGGTATAAGGTTAGGGCCAAAATCTGTAACTAAGTATTGGAAGAGACACAATATTTAGAGGGTAGTTGACAAAATAATTTCACATAAGCTTAATTATGCATGCTAAAACCGTGGTGGATTCACACTTAAGTTGTTTTATTCTTGACTAAAATCCCGAATTTTCTTAGTCTAAGTGGTAAAATCCGATAAATCATATTGTGTTGTAGATTTGATATCCAAATTTATTGTTAATCTAACAAGCTCAGAAAGATCACATTATTTAGTTGGTTTGGTAGGATCAAGCCAATTACATTGTTTACCTATGTTGTAGAAGATCTCTTAGTTGAAATATGTGACTACACATTTAGTTGTTGTGTTGTTATCATATTGTGTTGACATGTTGTTCAATTGAAAGGATTGTATTACTATGTTGCCATGTTGTGGTGTTAAGTAGTAATGGTGTTGTTAGTTGTTGATGTTTTGAATATCTTAATTGTGTTGTAAAGTTGTATGAATGATGAATCTTTGTTGTAATATGATATGTGTTGTGTTGGGCATTAGGCCATAAGCAAGTTGAAATGTTGTTATATTGCATAGTGTTGATATGATGATATCGATAGTATGATTGTATTTCACTTTTATATTATATTATTTTGTTATTTTTTAAGCTTACCCTTCTAATTTTCTTATTTTTAAACTATGATGATAATATTTTTATGAAAGCAAAGTAGGAATAGGTTGGAGGATTATCAAGTTTTTGAGGGTCATACTAGAGATGGTGGTGTTGTTTGGACTATTATGATGTAATTGGTTTATAGTAATTACTTAACCGATAATCTAGATTTATATCACCAGTCTGGATTACTGTATATATGTATATGTATAATTTTTAGTTATAGTTCCATTTAGGGGTTGATATTCATAATTTCAGTTGATAAGTTTTATACATATATCTACATATTGATACATGTATATCCATGAAATGTTTGTATGGTAAATCCTAGAAAATTAAATTTATGTTTTCCACTGCTTAGATTACTGAATTGTTAAGTGTAGAAATCTACCAAATTGTTATACTTATCCTTTTCACACAACCGTTAATTTTTTCTTTTTAATTTTTTAAATAAATTGCCTCAAATAAAAATAGTTGGTTATGTACATTATCCTATATAATCAACAAAATATATAAAAATAAATAATTAACATTAAAAAAATATAGCTTAAAAGTCAGGTTGAGTCACCTAACTCAAACTAATTTTACTAACTAAAATTTGAAAAATGAGTCGAGCCTACTTTATATAGGCTATAATATTTTTTACTTTTTTTTTTTTATTGTTTTGACTTCACTGATCCAATCAAATTATCCTATTTTATTTATTCTTTACATAAACTTATATTTTTATAAAAAATAATTGGATTAAATAGTCAATAACTTTTTAGTTAATCTTTTCATAATTTGATTTAGTCTATTTAACATGACCAAATTGATCTTATTATTATTTTTTATCTCAAAATAGTGTTCAATTTAATCTAACTTATCATGACTTACAAATCTATTAAGTCACACTAATTTTAACAACTTTAATTTTTAAAAAGAAATATAACTTTTTTCTACATGTAATTAACTTAAAAATATATTTTAAGATGCAAATTTTCTATATTAAATAAATATTATTTTTTAAAACAATTTCTATTTTTAATTTTTTTTTATAATTAGGTCCTTAAATATAAAGCAATAATTTTTAAATAGATCATTTACTCCATAATTCTAATTAAAAAATATGGAGAGAAAAAGAGTCAATGACTCAATTATAAATTTAATAATTAAGAAATTATTTAAAAAATTCAAAACCAATAAAAATATTTAATTAAAGATTTAATTTTATAAAATTATTATTTCTCTATTTATCGAATTTTCTTAATTCACGAAATAAAACCTAAGGACGCACTTGACAAAGAGTGGAGAGAGTAATATTTATGGTCCCATCTAACATATTAGACAGCAATAAAAAATTGGCAACACATAATCGTGGACATTAAATGTGCCTTAATTAATGGTTGAGTGTAAAGTTAAGCTACGATTAATAATTTATAATCTTGATTATACATTTTGTTTTACGTGTTTGTCCTCCAAAAAGAAACATACCATACGGTTCCACTATCTTCCGAAGATGACCGGGAAGGACGAGTTCGTGTCTTACTCGCCCCTTCCCTCCAACCCTAACCCTAACCCTTACCCTTACCCCCAAAACGTCGTCGTTCTCCTCCCCTCCTACCGCTCTCGTCTCCCCAACCGCCGCCGCCGCTGCATCCTCTACTCCGCCGCGCTCTTCCTCTTCCTCCTCCTCGCCGCCGCCGCCTTCCTCCTCTACCCCTCCGACCCGGAGATCCGCCTCGTCCGGATCCGACTCAACCGCATCGGGGTCCGAACCAACCCGAGGCCCATTCTCGACCTCTCCTTCTCCGTCACCGTCAAGATCCGCAACCGAGACTTCTTCTCCCTCTCCTACGACTCCCTCGCCGTCTCCGTCGGCTACCGCGGCCGCCAGCTCGCCTTGGTCTCCTCCGGTGCCGCCGCCGGCGGCCTCATCAGGGCGCGCTCCTCCTCCTACGTTGACGCCACGCTCGACGTCGACGGATTTGAGGTCATCTATGATGCGTTCTACCTGCTCCAAGACATCGCCAGGGGCGTGATTCCGTTCGATACCGATACGCGAGTCGAAGGGAAGTTAGGGCTTCTCTTCTTCCACGTTCCTTTGAAGGTAAATCTCTTCTCAGTTCCAGTAGAGTTTTTTTTTTTTAATTAAAATTAGATTGTTCGTGGTAGTAGCTTGATTTTTGCTTGAAAATGTGTTCACACTTTACGCTGCACAAACACAAACACAGTCGAAATTGAGTATTAGTGGATGCACTGATTATGGTGTAAAAGATTTTTAGACTCTCATTTTATCAATCATAAGATTGTATATTGACTTTTATGTAACTAACCGATTTCTGATTGATTTACAATGTACAAAAGTACACTTGGAATGCATACAAATTAAACTCTGAAGAGAAAGAGAGAAGAAAGAATAAAAAATGGTTAAGAGAAAATAATAAGAAAGGAAACGTGGCTTTATCTTATAGGGTAGTTAGAAAATGAAAAACAAGTTGAAAAATTGATGGGACGAGTAATATACTGTATTCTCTTATAAAATCTAGCAATTTTAAACTGAAAATGTAAATGTATTTATTGAGTTGGAAACATAAGAAGCATTGAAAACTTTCTTTATCTAGTAAGAGGATTAATATGAGGATAATGTATTTAATGTGGGGAGCTTTGTCTTTATGCTTTAGCATTGCGTTGGAGAAACGGTGGTGAAAGTTTATTGTTGTTATTATCTACTATTATTTTTTTGACTGCAAATTTAAAGCTCAAAATCTCGTATTTGATGAGTGGGACTTGTCAATTGTCATTTTTTTTCATATATGTTTATGCTAAAACTAAAATACTGTATGCTATATCCAGGCAACGGTGTCGTGTGAAGTGTATGTGAACATAAGCGAGCAGACAATTGTACGTCAAGACTGCTATCCTAAGGTGGGTACTATTGTTTCTCCCGTCAAATGATAGTTTTCAATTTTGTCCGAACATTCATGGTCTAGGAATGCTTCTTTTCATCAATAGATATAAATTTTTCCTTTGATCCCTTTCTGTTATACTGCTGAATTACATACTCGTTTCTGCTTTATACTTTGGCAACTAGTTTTTAGGTGTAAATGCAATTTACATATCTCTTTTGTATCTTGTGTAACTCCTGGCCAATCTGTGTTCATGCTCTCTTTCCTTTTGCTATCAAACTGTCTGCTTTTACTGCCCTAGAGCTAGAACCTAGATAGCTGGTTACATTAGCTACCCCTATTTTGTAAAGAGTTATAACCCAGCAAAGCCAGTGTGAAAAAGGTGAGGCTATGTTGCAGAGTCCTCTTCTATGTTATATTAGAAACTGCATGAACTTGGTAAGGCCTTAATTTTTTTGCATTAGAAATGTTAAACAGCAAGCGTATAGCTTGTTAGCTACAACACAACACAACTTTGAAAAAGGGTGGATTGTCTATTTTTTCTTTAAATCATTGCTCGTTTTTCTACTGTCCAAGTTATGAAAATTCAAACAAGCAAATGTATAAAATGTTGTTATACTGTATATGTAGCTACTACTTATTTTAACTTAATACATTCTTAAGGATAGAATTTGGGCCAATATTTGGCAGCCTAGGAGCGTCTTAGCCTTAACATGAGTTTCTCGTTTGGCAATTTAAATTTTGGCTATGCAGCCCGTCTGGCTCATTAGGTTTTATTTTATATTTTTAAATTGGATAAATTACATTTTTAGTTTCTCTATTTTCATCAATCTACAATGTTAGTACTTTTATTTTAAAATAGAGATATTTAGTTTCTCAAAATTTAAAAATATGGAATTTTGGTCCTCTCGTCAAATTAATATCTATTAATTGTTTAGTTTTAATATTTACTCATTGTTAAGGGATATGGTACTTATTAACATGACCTTTAGAAATATTTTTTTTAAATGTAAATAAGATTTTTATTAATAAAATAAATATTAATTACTTGTTAAAATAGATACAAACGAAAATATTTTGCATATTATTTTTTAATTTTTATCTCTATATGTTACATTACTAAATTTTATGTTATTTAAGTGATGATAAATTAATGGATAATGTCAAAATTTAACTATCAATGAATATCAGATTAATGGTGAGATCAAAATTCTGTATTTTTAAAAATATGTAGATTAAATATTTCTATTTTAAAATAGAAAGCCGAAATTGAAGATTGATAAAATTTGAGGGAAAAAATGTAATTTAGTCTTTTAAATTCATGTTATTATACATTTTTAAGTTAATATATTGAATTTGCTAACCCATTCTTCATTTGTTTCAGTCGCTGGGTGATCCGCTGGATCAGAGCGCATATATTGAGGCTGAAGATACATGATGTGTATTAACCTTTAGCATCCTTTGTCCATATAGCGCTGGTGGTGTTCATTTACATTACATTACTTTTATCGTGCTGTATGATTGTGTATATGGATCACACCCTTGTAAATTATGGTTCACTTTTAAGACCACCTGCTTTTTGGATTTAACGCTCGTATACAAGGTAAATTTAGTAAAAGTGGCACCTGAGAGTTTAAGTCATCTAGTTGAAAAATGAAATTATATTTTGCTGATAATGCATTTTAGTTCTCCTTTTAAATGTGTTCACAGTTCACATCCTGGATTTTAGTTGAGTTTTATTTTAGAAGGGTCTTTTCCAGTGGTTGGTATGACCAATATCTCCTTATTTTATGAACAACAAAATGATGTAACAGAAGAAATAATGGTTTACCATGTGATTTACCTTTCCCCCATCCTACTAATACTGTAACAATATTTTTTACCCAATTTGAAATTCCTAGATTTTATTCATATTCTGTTTTAATATTTTTATGTGAAAAATATCAAGGCACGGAATGCCCACGAACTGACATGTAAATGTTCGTAGGAATGGGGTCCTACCACGATATAATATTAAAATTCCCGGATTGAATTTTCAATTTCAATTTCTTGGTGGAATGTCTTTGTCGGTGGTTAATGGGTTGCACTCTATCATCAAATTTCTGGTAGTAGTCTATGTTTTAACAAATATTCTGTTCTCAGTGGGTTCCAGCAGATTTGTAGGTGGTGGCACACATGCCCCGATTTAAAGTTAACATAGGCCAAGGGTATAAATCCTTGTTTTCTTCCTTTGTACATTAAAGATCGGGTGCTTTTGATATCTGTTTTATGCTCAAGGATGGTAAAAGGCAGCATGCAATGCCTTCATGATATAATTCACAAACAAAAGATGAAGTGCTTCTATAAAGCATACTCTGCAAACGCAGTACATAGTGCTGCTAGTAGATTGAGTAAATCAAAGATATATCAGTGTGTTTTATTTGACATATCGTGTGAATTTTCATGGAGCTCTCATGGAATTAGAGTACCACTAAACCCTTGTCAATTTTGAATTTGGTGTCTAATGTAATGTTAATCTGATAATCATCCAACTCTGTCAATTACATAAGAGAATATGGTATGATTCCAAGATGATTAATAGGAGATGGAGGAATAGAGTAAAGGTAGGTAGGTACCTTCAACTTCAAAGCAACAAAGTTGCAGTCATTATCAACTCCTAGATTATTTTGTCTGTCATTTAAAACAGTGTCGTTCTATTGCAGCATTTAAGAACTAATGAAAAAACTGTGATTCATATATCCAAATTCTGATGTTATGACGCACTAGCCTGCCTTTATTGGCATTGGAAAAACAAAGAAAAACATTTTTTTTTATTAATGATTACAAATGCAAGTAGTTCCAAACTTTATCATCTTAAAATTCTTTAACGATTCCTGAAAGAAGAAAGAGGAAAACACTTATTTATATACATGCTTTGTTCATAAACTAAAACTTTTTATATATGCTTAGAATTAGATACATCCAACTACTTAATTGTTCTACCACGCCATACATACTCGGCGTGATGCAAGCGGCACCGGAATGACCCTGGATGCTGCGACGGTGAGCAAACGCAGCGTTTCACTGAAGCACTCTCTTCAGAGGTGCCACCACCATGAACCTGCCTCGGAGCATGCTCTGGCACCTGAAATACAAGCCATCTTGTATGCACTACCAAGCCTTCTCGTTCCACAAAAGAAACTCCCGGGTGACACATTTATTCTTCTTCTTCTAAGTGCTTTGAACCTCTTCTTAATATATATGTGTTTGTGTGTGTATATATGCCTTACTTTGTCAAGTTAAGATTTGAAAAAGAAAAGAATCTGAGTGGTACCATGACATTGTAGAAGAAGAAAAGAAAGGGGGAAAGGTGGTGGTTAAGTAAAGGCATGAGGGAAAGGAAAGGGCTTTTAGATAGATTCCCTTGAAGAGAGGTTTGTGTTGAAATTGCAAGCACAACTAGAGGTTTTCATTTTTGTGCATGTTTTAAAAGAGGACAAGCCGAACCACATCTTAGGTTGGACCAAGGGCACTACATGCACAAAAGTTCCAAACTTGTGTGGGCCCCACCACATATGAAGAAGCATCTCTCTTGGGGGCATCTGTCTTTGTGCTGCCACATGGAGATCTTGCGTGGCATGTGCCTCGTCTGGGATATGAATGCAAGTGGATGAATCACCACCGCCACTTCATTTCCCTTGGAGCTATTCATGCTTCCTTGCTTTTCTATTCAAATGTACTATACATGTAAGACTCTTCACACTTAACACTTATAACTTTAACTGTTTATTGTAATTTTGGTCTTATTATTATTGAATTTTATTTTCATAATTTTTTTTATTATAATTGTATTATTTTGCATGCATATATTAGCTTGACATCTAATATTAAAAAAAATCATGCATACACGACTAAACCTAAGTTTTGCCCTTCTATTATTGAAAAAAAATTCATTTGGATCTTATGAAAAAGAGAATGGGCCCAGTTTTTTTTAATGAGAATTAAATAAAATTTATTTAACAATATAATGAAACTTACGTAGTGTTTAACCGGAGGAGATAAAGGATAGGGGATACATTTTTATATATATAAAAAAAATTATCTTGTTCAATTTTTAGGAGGGAAGTAAAAATCTTTCTATTTTAATTTTAGCTTTTCTCTAGTATTAGAATTTTTTTTATAGAGATATAATTTTTTTTTCATTAGGTCGGATAAATAAAATAGTGTTTTAAATTGTGAATTTATATCCAAAATCGAATCTTGATCCTTAGTTAATAAATATAAGTATCAAAATTATTTGATTACCTGTATTAATTACTTTGGTATTATTGAAAAATTTGGAAGAGAAGATTTTAATATTCTTATTTATGTTTTGAATTTTAAAATTATAAAAGTAATTTATTTTTTAAAATCTCTTCTCTCTCCTTATGAATAAAATAAGAAAGATTATCTTTCTTTTCTTCTTCTCCCCTTCTCATAACTAAACAAATTTTTTAACTCCTCTCCTATCCTTCCTCTCATTAAAATCATTTTTCTTCCTCATTTAAACTAAACAGATCGTTAAACACTTTTTTAGTGCAAGTTATTAGCAATGGATAATCAATCATTAAAAGTAAGTTTTTCCTCTTTTGACAAGATTGTTCATGCATACACGACTACAAATCAAACCTACTCAACGTGCCTAAGAAACTTCAACTATAAAAATAAATAAATAATAGACATTTCTAGAAATCATTTGTGTGAACCCCAAAGAAGCAACACTCGTCAATTTATAGATACGCAATCATCACATTAAAACTTTAAAAAAATTATATTTGCGCATATTAAGTTTTATTATTTTTCTTTAAAAAAAACAGAGGTAAAGAAAAAACTTAGTAAAGTATATATGTTTTTTTTTATTACTTTATCTTGGAAAGATACTTAAGTTTTTTATTTATTTAAAAACTAATTTGATTAAATAAGCTTTATAAAAATTTATTTTAAATTTTATAATTTATCTTTATAAATTAATTAAAATAACTTATAACTTATAAATTTTTAGTTGTTTTTTTAATTTCATCTCATTGATTTATTTAAAATCATTTTATAATAAATATTATGACTATATTTTGCTTTCCAAATTTACAGATCGTCAAATTTAAAAAGAATTAAGGAAAATCATCGAATTTTCACTATTTTTTTTATAATATGAAGTTTTAAAACTATTGTTCTAATTTTTAAGATAATAAAATATTATAAATAAGTTTAAATATTGAAAGTGACACACATATATATATATATATATATATATATATATATATATATATTATCAAATAGATAAATATGTTCTTTAAATTATATCTTTTATATGTCGATTGATTTATCAACTAATTATACAAGAAAATTTCTAGTTAGTTTTAGTTTTTTTTAAACGTCTAACTTATTAGCTAATTTTTCCAAACATATTCTTTTTTAATCAAATAAGTCCTCAATTTATGACATAATTAGTCTTAATTTGATATATTAAACATTTGTAGTTTTTATTAATGAACATCCACTTTTTTGTTAAAAAAAATTGTTTACACATTTTTTAAATGGCATATGTTAGCTAATTATAATTATAAATTTTTTAAAATACATCTAGATGCAATTATTTGTTATCCCACTTTTTTTTAAAAAAAAGTGTATATACTAGCAAATATATAATGCATATAAAGTGAGAATAATGTCTTATAATAAGAGGCTAGAATATTTAATATTTACCGCTATATTAAAATAAAAGGTTCAAATTAACCTTTCTAATATATTTTATCCTTTAATTTTAAAAGATCTAACGAGATCTCAATCTTTCCTTTAATTTCGATTATTTTATCATATAAAGGAGAGAAAAGACTTGCATTGACGTTGATAATATGACGTATTACCCTAATCTTGAATAATCTTTTTCCATGAAATTTAATTCCTATTCGAGAGTACCTAATCGGTCCATTAAAAATTTATTACTAGGAAAACTCACCATACTTCACGCGTAAAATTAAATAAAAAACTTGACTATAGTACACTGCTATTAAATCCACCATAAAACCCTATTGAATAAGATAAACTCTACTATTAAATCTACGATACTCATAAAATTAGGAGTTTTGTATTTGTTATTATTAATTTTTACACCAATAACATTAAATTTTATGTTAGATTTTTTTTCCTTTCATAATTTACTAAGATATTTATAATTGAGTTGATATCTCAAATATTACGCGAGTACAATAATAAAAATGAATTAACATTATACCGAATAGTAGAGGAAATATATTATATGTTATGGTTATTTTATGGTATTGAGAAAATATTTTATGAGAGCTATATTAATAAGCTTATTATACAAACATACTCTATAATGATGAAATATTTTTCGCTTTGGACCTAAACTCTCACGGTTTTGTTTTTGGTCAAAAGACATTTTTTGCATTGGAGTATAAATATGTTTTATAAGTTATTATTTTTCTTCTTATTTTACCGATGCGAGATTTGTTTGTTTTCCAACATTATAATCATATATATGGTTATTTTCTAATAACTAATTATAAAAAGTTAAAATAGTGAGCATAAAGTATTTAGTGTGAACTTTGTGGTTGGCTTTATAATTATTATTTTAAAATTACTCTATAATAATAAAACAATAATTTCCACAAGTTGATGAATAATTAGGATTGAAACGTTGACTGAGAATGAGAAGCACATGTTCTAGAAAACTTGGGGTTGAATCTTTGATTGGTAGATGGTCGAGAATCGAAACTTGAAAGGCAAAAAAACACATGTAACATAATACTAAATTCCCCTTTCCCTTCTCCTTCGTGTCCCACCCGAGTCAACGAGTCGCCAACCGAGTCGAAGCCGCTGACGCGTCTTCAAACTCACTCTTTCTCTCGTTGAAATTTCTCATAATTAGCCACCACAACACCTTTGATTTTTCATTCCTTTCTTTTTCTTTTCTCTCCTTATAAATATCACCCACCCTTCTTTCCCTCCCTTCAATCACATAAACACCCTTTTCACATTTTCTCTTCTTCTATTCATTTCTTCAACTTTCCCACCATTTTCTCACTTCATTTTCCTCCAAAACATCGTTTGGAAATGAGGACCGTGAGGTTTTTGGCCCTCCCAATTATCACTTTGATGTTCATTGCAATTTCTCATATGGGTCATGCTCAGGATTTGGCTCTTTCTCCATCACCTCCTCCTACAAGTGATGGTGAGTTCAAAGCTTCATTTTTATTCTTTTTCAATTCTTCTTACTTTATATGAAGTCATCAAATTTCTCCTTTAAGTTATTGATCTTGTTTTTGTTTGTTGCAGGCACTGCAATTGATCAAGGAATTGGTTACATTCTCATGTTGGTGGCTCTTGCAATCACATACATGATTCATTAATTTTTATTCATCTTACTACTATTATGATGCCCGGATCAAAGAAAATTTCAGGATTTTTTTTGTACTGTAATTATTATTGATTATTAATGAAATTTATTCTTATTCTTACACATTTTCCTTGTAGAATGGTTTCTATGTTTTTTGTCTTAAACTTTTTTATCAAATATTTTATGTATATGTATATGGTGAATTCCCTTTTCAAGATTCCATTTTTTTTAATGACGCGGTTTTGCTTTTATGGACCCCGTGATAGACATAGGATTCTATTCTTTATTACGCGTGAAAACGTTAAAAATCTGACTTTGAAAAAATATTAAATAATCGATTCCAATTCATACACGCATACAAACTGGTCAAGCCATGCGAATTTGAACGTTGTGGGTTCAAAAGATTAATAATATAATTATGTAATTATGGACTTTTATTTGAGTTTAGAGGATTTGTAGTCACATCTCAGGCCTTCAGATATTCTGTTCACCAAGTTGGCTTAACTTGCATTGTTCTTTTCTGTTAATCAAATTTCATTTTTTAAATGTAAACTATTATTTAAATTGAATTTCTGATTTTCGCTTACTCTACTTAAGGTTATTGAATAGACCGTTCATTTCACTTAACAATGTTGTGGAAAACAGAGTTTATCACAGAAAAGTGTTTGAAGGATTAGTTTCGAAATGATGATATAATAGATGTAATGCTAGTTTAAAAAAATAAATAAATATTTGTAACTTTAAATAAACATTTTTGCAACATTTTTAAAAATTATTTGTAAACGACAGATAGTAAGTTACTTGGTGGATAGTATAGTAAACTCCACAAACGGTAACTCATTTCCCCTGTATTTTGGACATGTTAACTAATAATTAACTAGTAAGAGTGTGTTTGTTCCATTTTTTTCTCCTTGAGAACTATTTGTAAGTTAAAACTAAGATAAAATTTTTACAAATAAATTAGAGTTTATTTAACTATTTTCATTTTTATTTCTTTTAACTTGAAAGAGATAATTTGGAAAAGAAATAGAAGGAAAAAAAATTAGTGATAAGAAAAGTGTTGTATGAGTGAGAGAATGAGAGATGGCCAATTATTTTCTAAAAGTTATTTTTCTTAATTTTTTTAGTTATTTTTTTCTTTTATAAGAATTTAGTTACTTAATATTTTAAAAGCATTTAAAAAAATGTGTTTGATAAAAAAATGAGTTTTTTTATCCATAAAAAATTACAAAAATAATATACTTCACAAAAAGAATGAGTCTAACATCACATAAACAAGTTATTTTAATAAATTATAAGTTATATATGTAACAAATATATTTCATAATCAAATGACAAGATGTCTGGTCTTAGACTTAATACTATATTAAAATTTTACTTTGATTAGATATTCAATTAAGAACACATGATTGTCATTTTTCACATACACCAAAGGTTAGGGGTGTGATTGGATTATTTATGAATAGTAAATGATTCGAATTTGATAAGAGAACAATTTTCTTACTCACTTATATGCAAACTATGGTTTGAACTTTGAAACACAAAATCCTGGTCAAATACAATTTAGTTGTGATTTTACCTAAAACACTATTTATGAAAAAAACTTAATTCACTTCTCAATTTAATTCTATTGTTGTCGGAGTTGTTTTATTTTCCAACAATTCTCCTCAAGTCTAATTAGAATGAACTAATTATCACTTGTCTTTTATTCTCAATTCTTAGTTTGACCTTGTACAATGTATTTCAAGTTAGATTCTTAAAGAGCATAAGTTTTCCTTCATTTATCATCTATACTTCTATTATACTTTCTATCCTGAATCTCAGATGTTTTATATTAAGAAGTTTTTACAATAGGGAGCACTCCACACAATGGGTAGTGAATAAGTCACATAAATAAATTTGACACCACAACATAACCTAAAACTTTAAGGTATTAGATAAGTAGGTCTTTCTCACTAATATATTCCTTGACATGCCAATTCTAACTAATGTGAGACTTCACTTCGGCCTTGAACTTCAACACTATAGACCTAAGTCTTCTTCATTGAGTCTCGTGGACCACAGGTTTGCTTTCATTCATCACACTTGAACTTGTCCTACTTTCCTTTCTCAAGTCTTAGAGACCACGAGCCTTCTTTATGGATGAGCCTTATCAAGTTCGATGCAGGAGAAGGCATCATTTTCTTCATTTTTCTCTCAGTATTTACTATTAAATATACCCCACATTATCACTAACATTAAAGTTACAGTTTAAACAGAAAGTACTAACAAGCCACATAGTCAAATATAAGTTACATTCGATACATTCAATTCGTCAAAAATCGATAATTTCTGATAATTTCTACCTAATAATACATCTACAAGTAAAGCATTGAGAAACAAGTCATTGAGCACCCTAACCTCAAAATAAAAAATTACACCAATGCTGCTCCAAAAACAAAAATCATTTCACATGGCAAGTTGCTCCATAAACAGCTCCACAAGGCCATGGGGTGCAGTCTGTCATGTGCATCACGTGCCTAAGTTACAATACACATTACAGAATGTGATAAGATATTGTGATCCACATAATCTAGGAAGCAATATTTGGTGGCGTAGCTCTTAGGGTAGGGTGTTTTTTTATTAAAGATATAATATTTTTTGTTCAGTTGAAGTTAACTGATTTGCTTTTACTACTTTGTCTGTCAACAACACCATTCTAGGAAACCTAAAAAGAAAAAGTGAGGTCATAGAGATTGGTCGATACCCTTTTTTCAAATCCTAAACCACGTTCTTATAGTTATATTCAAAGTCTCATCACTTCTCAGTTCTCACCGAACTAAACTACATTGTTGAACTATTATTAGTTCTAGTCTAGTAAAACCATGGATATAAGAAACTATTGCCATTCATGCAAGAGAGTCATCATCCAATCAGGAAGGTGTTGTTGCAATGAGAATGCAAATTTTGAATCGAGTAAGATGAGGTGGAAAGTGTTGTGGATGAAGCTCAAGAAAGAGAAGAAGAAGCTGTTTGAGTCTGCATCACCCCTGCAGGTCCCTTATGATCCATATTCTTACTCTCAGAATTTTGACCAAGGGACTGCAAAAGATGAGCCAGATAACCTCTCTAGATCCTTCTGTGTTAGGTTTGCTGATCCTTCTACTTCTAGAGTACTTGTGAAGAAAAGGGTAGTTTAAGGCAAGGCTATTGAAACTTGCGATTCTACTATCTCTGATTGAAATGTTAAGTGCTACATTAATGTGTCTAACTTTCTCTCATGTGTCCATGTGGTAACCAGTAACCACTTCTCTGTGTATTCTATATAACATGTGAATATATGTGTTTCTTAAGGTTGTGGAACCTTGAGTTCAGGCCTCATTTTTATATATTTATTTGTCTTCTGATTTGAATATTATTGAAGGGAGTATCAGTAATGAGTTGAATGTTAAAGTTTTGCCTAGTTTTGAAGTTAATGAATTCATCATCTGTTAAGACTTCAGAACTCAAGTCGATGTTGTCACCTTAGTTTTGTGCTATTTTATATTTAAGAAGTAATTTCTTAGAAAGTATTCATTATAAGGGGCATATAAATACTCTCTATTCAAACTTAATATTTTACCTTATCTTGTTTTCACATATATTTTACGTTTCCATTACTGTTCTTCGAAGTGGGTCAGCATCACACAAACTGTATAGATAATTATTGCCAAGATAATGCCAAAAACTTGAATTGTTTAGCATCCAAATTATGTATATGTTTAGTGTTTACAATCATCTAGAGATGAAAGTTTCAAAGCCAAGGAGAATTGTAAATAGGAGTTGCAACAGATTTAACTTGAAGATACTTATGAAGGGCTTCCAATCCATAATCTCTTCCAAAACCACTCATCTTATACCCTCCAAAAGGGCAGTCAATATCAAAGGCAAAGAAGCAATTGATCCAAACGATGCCTGCACGAATGGACCTTGTTACAGTGTTGGCAATATCCAAGTTCTTGGTCACAATCCCTGTTGCTAGGCCATATTTGGAGCTGTTGGCTTTCTTAATTGCATCCTCAATGTTCCTGTTGCACATATACAATACTTGATTCAACATTAGCTACACAATCACAAATGTTTTGTTGTACCGAATGAAAAGGAATATAAGATGGACTTACTTGAATTTAGAAAGTGCCATCACAGGTCCAAATATTTCCTCCTGTGCAATTAGCATGTCCTCCTAAATGATTATTTTTTCAAAAGAGCAAAAGAAATTAAGGTTAGTTTTTCAATTATGATAAAGATATGGTTTCATGCTTGTTGTAGAACTGAAATACACCTTAACATTGGCAAAAATGGTAGGCTCAATATAGTATCCCTTGTTGCCAGCTGGCTTACCCCCAGTTAATAGTGTGGCTCCTTCTCTCTTTCCATGCTCAATGTAGGAAAGAATTTTATCGAATTGTGCCTTACTAGTCTACAGTAGAAAATCATGTTAGAGAAGTATCCCATTAACAATTTTCTTTTTTTTGCAAGAAACTGCATGGAGATTGCAATAGAATATGTTGAGAGGGTTACTAATTAAGGTACACGACATAAATTTAGTATGAACATTGCTGTGCACTTGTGCCAATCTAAAGTACTCTTACTTGGGGTCCTTGCTGAACTTTAGGATCAAAAGGGTCTCCCACTACCCAAGTTTTAGCCTTCTCCACTACCTTCTTCTCAAATTCATCATAAATCCCTTCTTGGACAAAAACTCTAGAGAATGCAACACAAATTTCTCCCTGAAAATCACGAAGAGTTTCAATTAGTAATTTAGTATATAAGTCTATGTTTTTTTCTATGTTACAAAAATTTCCTTGGAAGAAAATATACCTTGTTGTGTAGGATGCCAAAGAGAGCAAGGTCAACAGCGTTGTCTACATCAGCATCATCAAAAATCAAAACTGGTGACTTACCTCCTAATTCAAGTGAAACAGGTTTCAAATTGCTCAAGGCCGCAGCCTGCATTATTTTACGACCTGTTTCTGTTGAACCTGTAAAACTGACCTGTAACATAAAACATAATCACAATAAACCTCATTAGTTGGTAACAAATGCTATATCCTTCAACTTAATCAATGATATAAAACATTTGACTCTCAAATTACCGCATCAATGT